AACAATACTCAATAGCTCTGTTTTAAACATTGTGTTTAAAAATGGTATGTTTTGATTTGTCAACCAGTCTTGGATATTTTTTTTTGTCCATGCATTGTTGGGCACTTTGTTCAATATCATGCTGTGATAAGGGGCGTTATCCAGTATAATCATAGATGGACTCTCCAATTTTTCTAATAACTGATGTTGAAACCATTTCAAAAAATTGCCCTGGTTCATCTCTCCATGGTAATCGCTCAATTTTGTTTTCGAAGAAAATATCGCTTCACTACCCTCAATAAACCCATTTTCATTTCCAGCATGTAATATAATCTAAAATATATTAGTTTTAAATTTTATAGTGCAAATTGTGTAAAAGTACATACCTTTTACCATCTGTTTTAATAGCTTTCACGCTTTTTTGGTTTCCATTTTGCCAAGAGCGACCTATGGTCCCATTTTGAAATATCCAAGTTTCATCGAGGAAGACAAACTAGTATAAGGCCTCAACCTTGGCTTGATTGTATTGCCTTAGAAATTCCACCCTTTTCAAAGCTATACTTGGTAGTTCCATGAGCCCTCGTCGCGGATTGTCCTTAAGCCACTTAAATCCAAGATCTCTAAGCAACCGCCTTAAAGACGTGGCACTACCATCAAATAATGCCCTATCTCTTAATCGAGACCATAAAGTTTGTATCGTAACTTGTTCTTCTGAAACCATGTGTAATATGACATTATAATTTAGTTAACAAATTAATGCAAATTTCTGATAAGTTATTATAATAAGATCTTACTTTTGTGATACATATTATAGATCGCTTCTCGAATGGCACTTGTATCCAATGTCGCTGTGTTGGTTACACGTTTAATATAACTCCGCTTTTTCTTGGGCGATTCTAAATTTGCATCACTTTTCACACCCTCGGAAATACGACTAACTGTCCTTAAACTAATTTTTAAAGCAGCAGCAACACGCTACAAAAAATGAAATAAAATTTCACTATTATTAATATACATTACATATAATTATTAGTAACCTACCTCTTGAACAGCATTTAAAGGCAACAAAGGCCCGTTGTTGTCCCTTTCTTGCTCAAAGTAGTGCATTAACGAGGCCACGAGTTCCTTACACCGACTATTTAACTGTTTGGGCATCTTTATATACCAAAATTGCCTTTATCTACTCGTAAAATGAATAATTTTGTTTTGAAACAAACAGTTGTTGATTTACAGTATGCGGGGCCAAAGGATTTATAAAGATTTGAAATGCCACAAATTGATTCAGTGTCAAAATTAATACAAATGTCAGTTCCCAGTTTAAATAAGTTTCAAGGTGACAATGTGTCAACGCTGCGAAATCGGTTTAGTGCGTTTACATGTCGATAAGTGATTGGAGCGTTTGCAAAACATTTTATTTCGCATAATGCGTCTAAATTTATCAGAAAGCAACTTATGTGATATTTTAATAACAATGTTTATATGACTATTAACCATAATAAGAGAGTAATGACCATTTTACAATTTATATATCACATTAATATGAAACTGCAATAGAGCAATTGTTTGTGATAGAAACCTAGGCATTAGGTCGGGGAATTTTTATCGTGATGACGTGCACGCCACTTTGTTTGGCGTTGACTATACCCTTGATACCTTTCATGAAAGATACCTTTCTTAAATCTTCTACTAGTCAGTGGATGGACCCAATATTTGCGAAGTTTTTGATGACTTTTCTTTGGCTGCTTCTTAGTATTAGAGCAACAACACATACCTCTTGAAATACATCTTCAAACTGAGAAAATCGTGTCGAGTTGTTTCGCGGTTTTTAACCGTAGTGTGTGCGTCTCGGGCGGTTTTGCGGTTTGGTGGTTTACCGCTTGCGGGAAAAAACCGTATTGCGGCCTAAGCCTAAAGGTGCGTTTAGATCTGAGTACGCACGCACTGATCCACCGCGAATGCTCAATGTAAACGGTTATGCGCGCACGCTCACCTTGTAACTTCATGTGCGCGAGCAACGGCGAACCCGGTTCGCCTGTTCTCGGTCTCAAGACGTTGCTCAAAGGAATTAATGGGTTCGCGAATGCTCAGTGTGGACGGAAATGACAACGCGGCGCACAGGATTTTATTTAGTCAAGTAAATGATGAAATGGAATAATACTAAAGTTCTAAAACTCTCGCAAGAGTTTGTGAAATTATCGGTACTGTGGCACGTTGGGCACGAAGAGAATTATTCAAAATCGAAAAAAAAAATGGCGAATGGAAACAACTAGTAATCAATTAGAGCATTGAAAATTTATACTGTTGCGAAGCACAGAAAAAAATTAAAAGCCTGATGGGATCATTTCGTCTCGAAAAAAAAGGAAAATGAAGATTTTGACACTCTGAAAAGATACTGCAAGCTGCTGTAGGAGTCTCCAGTTGCAAAAAAACACAAGGTTTTGGCTAAACGTTTTCTTGGTGATATAGATTTTCGGAGCTGTGTATCAATTTTCATTATCGTTGGTGTTACCAACGTAAGCAGGTATTCAAAGTCAGCCTTGGTCATTTTTGTAAAATTTCTGAATTGATCATACAGACTGTTTAATACTAATTCCTTTCGTTTCCGATTTTCTTCTCTTTTAATTAAATTATATACTATAATAAATGTTGCCGCGGCTATATGTCTATTCTCCATGTTAACCTCGTACGTGATGCACTGGATCCGCCCATACGTTGAAAAATGAATTTCAGTTTAAACACTCTCCACGCACGCAAACGAATGCGTGCGCGTATGCTCACGCTCAGTGCGTGCGTGCTCATATGTAATCGCACCTTAAAAGCAACCGTTCAAGCAATTCGAGTAACTGGCGTTATTAACTCGTGTGTCACCTTAAACCACATATTATAAACGCCGTAAATGACACAGAAATTTTGGTTATTCTCTTGGATTTGGCTTGGATGTTTTGTGTGTTTAATGCGGGTCCCTCTAGATACTCTAGATGCTTCCAACGTTCGACACCCCACAATTGGCAAGTGTGTTTCCTACAAGATGGGATGAACTTTTTAGTCCCGGACGTTCGACGTATGGTGGCACCAACGTCTATTATCGGAGTCAGTGTCGCGCTTGAACCTTTACAACTGAAGGAAAAATTATACAAAATGAACGGTGAAACATTTTTTTCGAGCGCCGAAAAATAATTTCAGATGTCTTCAGGGACCAAAACTTGAGTCTGTCAGAAGCGACAGAAATGTCGAAAAACAAAGTTTGACCGATTTTTGTTTGTTTTCGATAACTCCGCCGCCACTGTACCGATTTTCAAAAACTGCAGAGCTTTTTTGTCATCTTCGTATTAGTAACCTAAGGTCAGAATTTCATCAAATTCCTGATAGTACTTTCAGAGTTATTATTTATTTAATCGTTTCCGTTAGTTATGCAAGGCAATATATAGTATTTCTCAACTAGTCTTGCATTGCAACAGGACATTGTAATGAAACAACTGTAAGCACTTGATGATTTATAATTTACTAAAATACATATCCCTAGGGCCAGCCATAACTCACCGGCGAAACGTACAAGATAGCAGTATGAAAAAAGTGTTGCTGTGACAGCCTATGACATCTCGTGTTGGAACGTAACGAACCATGCTTCCTTTGACGCGGGTCCAATTTACAGACAAGAGCCCCAACCCTCGACACATGCAATCCGTCAGCGCTCTCGGCTCTCCCACACTATCATCAAATCCAAGCGAATAACCAAAATTTCCGTATTATGTACCGCGGTTATAATATGGTTCAAGATGACACACGAGATGATGACGTCAGTTACTCGAATCGCTTGAACGCGTTGGTTTTAACCGCGGTTTGTTGCAAGTTGTTTATTTTAGAAAAGCGCGTATATAATTCCTGATTATTTTTATTATCACTTAATAATCGGTGCTTTTTCGTCTACAACGGGCCATGGAAAGTTGAAAAAAAAAAGAAAACTTTCATAATATTAACCCAGATACCCCTGAAACTCTTAATGTTTATTTTTTGTTATATACTTATGTAAACCTATTAATTGGGTTAATATAAACATATTTTCCTAGTAAAATTTTTTAGTTCCGCTTTTAGGTTTTTCTGTAAAAGCCGTCGGTTTAAACGTACGGTAGCAATATAAGGTACTAAAACTCAATATTCTTATGAACTTATAAAACTTTATTTAGAAACGAAAAAAATTGTTTAAACCAATAATAATAGATTAGTTTTTAGTATGGTAACTTAAAAGACACATTTTTGGATGAAGTGCAACATCACACTTCTGGCATCTGAATGCTGCTTGTTGATAATTCACAAGATGATCCATCCGATCATATCTGGACTCATAATGCAGGTATTTGCCTGGTTTAGATGGCCCCCGTTTTGTTTCTTTCTTATAAGTTTCTAATAATCCCGCAGCAATACACCTCCTAAACTGCAAATGGTCCATTTTTCCGCCAGAATGTTTATGAAGTTGCCATGCGTTTTGTTCTGCCATATCCAGAACATGTGAAAACAAGCAAAAATACCACTTCTTTCCCCTGATTCCTACGCGGTAAAGGCTTATATTTTGGTCCGCCCTATCAACACGGCCCATGTTTTCGTTGTATTGTTTGATCAAACATGTATCATTTTCTTTTCTTTCTGAGAGAAGCGTTTGACTTGCTACGTCGGAAAAGGAGATGTTCCATTTGAGGCGATTGTAACAACACTATTGTCATTTCATTTACATACAATATTATTTTGGTTCTCGTCCACAAGATAATCAAAACTACCACGGGATTTTTTCTTGAACATACTGGATTTTTCAAGAGGGCAATCTGATAGTCTGTTTTCTCGCAGAGTTCCTGTGCATTTGAGCCCCCTGGAGGTCAGCTCAGCGAACAAAGGTAATAACGTAAAAAAATTGTCACAAAAGATATGGAAAGGAGCTTTTTCCCATTGAGACTGAATAATATCAGCAAACTGAAGTACAACACTAGCCCCTAAGCCAGGAGGACGATATTTTTCAGAAATAATAGTTGTGGACTCGTCCACGCTATGGCACTCTTCAAGGGGTGCAAATGACTGAAATTTATCATTCAGTTTCGAAAACTTATCGGTATTTTCAAGATTGTTGTTATCATTCAGGTGCAAATTCTGCATTATAAAGCTAAAGCGATCTCGAGAAACCACCGAATAGACTAACTTATTTCCTGCGTCACTGTTATTTTCTCAATACATTGACCGTCGAGGAAATGAGTTGTATCCAGAGAGCAGTAATACACCAATGAAACATTTTATTTCACTGGAATGTATATCACCTCGGCGATTATGCTGAAAAGCATATATATTGGAATATTTCACAACCAAGTCAATAATTTCGTCATCTATAAACTGAAAAAATAGTTCTAAAGGAGATAAAGAATTTTTTGGACCACTTGTGTTTACCCATTCTGGAAAATCTTGGTTGATGTCACCTTTTTTCCAAGAGTAATTTGGTTTTGATAATTTTGGTCGTTTTTTCGTAAGAAAGGTAGACAAAGGTAGGTCATCGTCGCTATCAAAATCACTCTCAACTGTAGTTTGGTTTGATCCCTTGTTTTCAAATACAACCTCAACTTCAGTCATCAGCTAACTTCCAGGGAGGTTGTTTATATCCACTTCATTTTCGTCGCCGGAATCGTCATCAGTGTTATATTCATTTGCGTTAACTGGCGGTAGAACGGCAATAGTATCAGGAATCAACTCATCGTCATCAATGTTTTCAATTTCTGCCATCAGTTCATGAATTTTCAAGGGCCGCTTCCAATAGTTCCAATAACTGCAAATATAAGAAAAAAAATCGAATAATACCGGATTTTCCTACTGTCCGTTAAAACGGACATCGGTATTTGAGGTTATATTTTTGCCGGTGAGATGCAAATTTTTAACTTATTTGTTTACAATTATAAAGATTAATGTTTTCTAAAATTACTTATTCACAAGATGGAAAAATAATATGAATAGTTTATCAGTATACTCACCTATAATAATAATAATAATAATAATAATAATTATTTATTGGTACTATTACACAAAAATGTGTTTGTACAGGTCATTTAAAGTAGAACATAAAAGAGTAAGTAAAAGTAACAAACAATACGAAAATAAGACAAACGTAAAACACAAAGTGGCAATAAAAGGTAAAAAAAACTTGATAAAACTATTTTAAAATTTAGAGGAACAATAAAATAAGATGGTTAAAAAATTATGAAATACTAATCATTTTTTCATGTTTGTACTCAAATGTCCTTACACACGTCTGGAGAACGATAAAATATAATACAAAAATAACACATAAAAAAAACAAACGAAAACAAAGTAATAAATAGTCAACAATTATGGAACAAAGTCGGTAAAATCATTATTTAAAAACTCATCTATGCTGTAAAAAGCTTTCGTCACTAAATATCTTTTCACAGTTGCTTTAAAAATGGTTGAGTTGAGTGTTTGACAAAACTTGGGCAGCGCATTAAAAAATTTCACACCGAAATAATTACTTCCGTGTCTAGTTTTTGAAAGTCTTGTGTACTCTGGTATTAATTCATTGTTGAACCTTGTGTTATATTTGTGAATCTCTTTCGGAGTTCTGTAATCATCGTAATTATTTTTAACGTGGATCAGACATTCCAGTATATATATGCATGGCACAGTTAAAATTTTTAGGTCGATAAATGTCGTCTTGCAACACTGTCTGAAATATAAGTTTGCTATTATTCTCAAGCATCGTCTCTGAACAGCAAACACCTTCGATACATGACATGAATGTCCCCAAATCAGTATGCAGTATTGCAAGTTAGATTGGAAGTAAGCATAATAGGCTGTCATTAAAGTCGATTTTGTTACGTAGGTATTTAAACTACGTATCATATATGTTATTTTAGATAACTTCTTTGATAAAGAAGTGATGTGTGATTCCCAAGTTAAGCTTGCATCAATAATCACTCCAAGAAATTTCACGGGCTCTACTAAATCACTTCTATGTGGACGAGTACTGAGTAGAAGAGATTGAGTTTTCGCTATGTTGATTGACAAACTGTTGGCATTAAACCAGTTTTGAATGTTGTCAAAATGCTGCTGAGAATCGAGCAATACATGATCAAAGTTACTATTGGAGGATATTGATGTCGTGTCATCCGCAAATAATATATACTGATTGATGCTACAGTTTGGCAGATCATTGATGTAGATCAAAAAAAGAATCGGTCCCAAGACACTTCCTTGGGGAACTCCGTGCTTAATATGCACATTGTTGGATAAACAATTTTGAAAACTAACATACTGTCTTCTATCTGATAAATAAGACGCAATTAAGGACAGGCTATTATTACTAAAACCATACAGCGACAACTTTTGAATCAAAATGTGATGTTGGACACAATCAAATGCTTTTGTAAGATCATAGAAGTTAGCGAGGGCAAACATGTTATCTTCCAGACATTTGTTGATGAAACTGATAAAATTGTTTATTGCTGCTTTCGTTGATCTGTTGGTACGGTATCCAAACTGGTTGTTACAGAATAAATTGTTACCTTCGAAGTATTCACATATCTGATTCTTCAGAAGAATTTCGAAAATTTTTGCTATAATTGGTATTATAGAGATGGGTCTGAAATTACATGGATCATTCTCACAGCCTTTCTTGAAGAGTGGCACAATCTTTGCAAGTTTTAATAAGGCAGGAAAGACATTATTTTCTATACACATGTTTATCAATTTTGTTATAGGATATACTAACAAGTTATTTAAGGTCTTCATAATTTTAACATCGATGTCATATGGATCTTTACTTTTAGAATTCTTTAAGCTTTTGATTGCGTCTCGAACATCATTGAATGAAACAGTTCGAAAGTTGAAATGTAGTGTATCACTAGTCTGTATAAAATCTTTGAAGTTCGACTGGGTAGCTGGAATTTCAGCGATAATGGTATCAGCAATGCTGACGAAGAAAGAGTTTAAATCATTCGCGCTGAGAGTAGACGAATGTGCTTTTGATGATTGCACACCATTGGATTTAATCACGTTCCACATAGCTGCTTGTTTATCTGACGCTCTACGTATATATTTATCATGAGCATTTTTTTTCCTAATTCTGATTTCTGATCGGTACTTTGATTTGAAGACATTAATCTCCTTCTTTGATACTACTTGGGGATTATCTTTATTAATTTGTGTTATTAGTTCCAAAGTCTCTCTCATATGAGCCAATTCGTGATCAAACCAGTTGATTTTGTTGCGACAACCCTCTGATACTAACCTAGATTTGATTGGTAAGCACTCAGCGATATTATTTGTTAAGATGTTCATGAATCGTTCGAGTTTAGTGGTCAGTGGTAAACTAATATCAGACAAAAAGATCCAGTCGACTGTTTCAATTTTACTGTATAACTTGAAAAGACCTTCATCAGTGACAGGCCTGTAGTTTATTCTCTTCCTAACAGGTTTTAGAGTTTTCAAATTAAAATGAAATGCAATACCTAAATGGTCAGAAAAACATGTATCAAAGGCCTCTACAACTATGCTTGACATGTTTATATTGGTGAAAATATTATCTAGACAAGCATTCTGCCTAGTATTCACATTCACAGTCTGATACAGTCCAAAAGAAACACAAATATCACACATCACATTGGCATGCTTGTCGTGAGTGTTAAATTTAAAATTAAAATCACCAGATATGATTATATTTTGCTTATAGTCTAAAGTACTAAGTAGTATTTGAAGCTTATTATAGAATATATTGAAGTCTCCATTTGGTGATCTATATATGGTTAGAATTTGTGTGCCATCCAAACAGGTGACACCAGCAACCTCAAAGTGTAACTCCTCAGAAATGTTTAAAACTTTGTCACACAAAGGCTTAGCACTAAACTTATTATTGACATAAATACAAACACCACCGTGGATTTTGCTTGACCTGCAAAAACTAGACACATTCATATATTCACAAATATTCAGAGTATTAATCTCATCGCAAGTCAACCAATGCTCATTCAAACAAAGAAAGTCATAACTGTGCTGTTTTGCCACCAACTCAAGTTCATCAACCTTGTTTCTCAAACACTGTACGTTTAAATGTAAAAGTTTATACCGACAATCATTCGTGCGCACTTCACAGACGCGAGCGTGTGATAAGGAATTTTTCGATACATTCTGTTTACCCGAATCATGTCGTACTAGGTGATTAGTATCGGATTCCCACTGGCCAGTAAAAAAGCACCAGTACTCTCACTGTTGCAATGCACTCGACGTTCCATTTTATAAATTGGAATTATTGGAGGCGATAACAAAACGTTTCTTTTGAGGGTAGAGCAGCTCGTCTGCACATGACTTCTTATGATGTTTGCCAGTGATTTGCGAAAACCATTCTTTGCTACTAATAACTTCACTGAACAGTTAGGGTTATTTTTAATATAACTAGTTATTTTGTTTTCCAATAGAATTGCTAAGGCTTCATCTACAGGCTCGGACTTTAGAAGAATTACTAGATTTGTAAATTTACCCAGTGGTAATACATTTCTAAGAAAACTGTTCAATGTTTTGTGGTTGCTTATGTTTTTTGTGCTGAAAACAATAATTACATAGTCACTTTGTCCATGATCCATAGTTTGAGTGAAAATATTACTTGTGATATTTGCAGCCTCTGTGTTGGGCTTAACAATTCCTTCAACTATATAGCCTATGCTCTTCATTGAATTATGTAAGACTCTAGCGCAGTTTCTGGCCAATTGATCGCCCACAATGAGCAGTTTCTTGGAAGTCTTCGCACTGTTCCTGGATTGTTTAAAAAGTTCATCATACAAAGATACATTTTCCTCAGTCCTCAGCTGTTTATCCCTATCGTCTAATATATTCTGTTGATCGTTGGCATTTCCTTCAGTGTTCTCCGACAATCGACACCTGTCTTCTTTTGTTCTTTCTTCTAATTCGCCTATTTTCCTTGAGTATGCATTGTTTGTTTCTTCCAAAAGACTAATGGTTTTCAGCATATCGGCATGAATATTTTTTAGCTTCGTCATCTCTGTTTGCATGTCTTTTGTCATTTGTTCATAACTGTCCATCTGTTTCTGAAGGTTTTTGTTCTTCTTCTAATTATCCATTGTTCACAACAAACTAAGCACCTGTTATTCCAAACACTTTCTCTCATACAGAACTCTCCCTTTAAGAGGTTAGAACAATAAATTTCGCTTAAACACGTGTTTCTAACAGCGAATAACCCAACGCCATCTAACGCGGAGTGACAGAGTTTCAAATTTGAAGCTAAATATTAGGTGATTGTTATAACGGACGGTAGGGGTATCTGGGTTAATGGGAGGAATGTGTTTTTTTCAGAAAAAAATGTTTACTGATGGAACCATGGCTTTGTAGCTATGATAACTTTCAATTCTCTAAACTTTTCCGCATGTCAAAGAAAATATATATTGCTTTAGCAGAAATGATGAAAAAAAGATATTAACAAAACCTTATCCATGTGGACATCATCCAGTGAGTTTGTATGGCCATATTTTAATATTCTTGTGGTATATGGCTATACAGGATACTTTGTTAAGCGTAGAAACTAAATTCAAAGTGTCCCCAACAACAGTAATGATTATAAATAATCAGGTGCTCTCTTATGCTAAAACTGAAGACGCCTGTATTAAGTTTCCCAAAAATGAAGCTGAAGTACAATAAAAATATCCAATACGCGGCAAAATGCTAACTTGTCACATGTCAAATAATAACCACAAATATAAAACTACTCCTGAGTTGGGTAAATACCACAATTTTGCGGTGATAACGGTGACATATAACAGCTGATTCATGACGTCACCGATCTTATAACCAAACTGATCACCACACTCGCTTGAACGGATCGGTAAATACCAATCCAAAATGGTAAATACCATTTTCATTTGGTAATCCGCTTGAATTTGATTTATGTGGCGAATGGCCATATGTCCAACGTTGTAAGGCATGTCTCCACATCGTGTGGGACCGGTTTAACGTTCATGTTTTCATGTGACAGATTTTGGTGATTCGATTCGCCAAAGCTCCGTCTATCTGTCAAAGGTGTTTGTTCTATGCTTTTCCAAAAATTAAAATCTGTCAGTGTCACTTTGAAAATCCCATTTTCTCACTTTTCTTCAAAAAGAAACAAAATTTCACAGGGTATACCGATAAATAGAAGAAAATCAAATCCTTAGAATATTTTGAGATCATGTGCGGAATGACATTCTGAGAAATCTATTCCGCCATGTTGAATTTCTATATGGAAATAAAGTGTAGTGTCATCACAATTGTAATTTTATCCTAATTTTTGAGTTTTTTGCAAAAAGTTTAGAGTTTTAATTTCTACTGGTGTATTTCCCTTGTGGCTTGTGGTTAAACAAGCATCTTCTGATCGATAAGTGCGGCAAACCTTACCTGGATGATACAGCAACAAAATTGTTAATACTTGTAAAGTGGGTAAGTCGGACTAAATAGGTTTGTGGTCCTAGAGTTTTACTAGAACCACATTTGCAAATTAACAGTGATGTGCTCTGATTGCCCTTGATGTAATACAGACACTTGAAATGTACATATCTTCATTGCGTCTGGATTTAGGCGTTTGTGTTGCTTTCTACTTTTTGAGGTATTTTTGGAAAGTTTCTGTATAAAGGCTTTGTCAGAAAAGTTTTATCTCCTGTTTATCTACTGATATTTTGGTAAGAACTTGATGTGTTGTTGATCCTGTCATATTAATATACTAAAATCAAGGCATATCTAATCTTTAGATGTAAGATAAAATACCTAAGAACAATCTGGATAACTGTAATGTTCACACATCATAACACCTATTGATTTTACATTAGCAGCTTTGGAAGCCTTTAAAATACGCTACCTGTGCCTACATTAGGAGACAATCTTTCTTTTAAAGATTATTTTGCATGCTAAATTACAAACTTGAAAATTTTTTCAGTGGGACCGAAAACATCGAAAGACCATAATTAATTAGTCATAGTAAGTTTTTTTGTTTTTTATATCATTTCATTGCACCCATTTGAGATATGCAAAAATTAGTTCACACCACTTTTATAATCAATCATAACTATCAATTTTGAAACAATGGTTATTGATCTAAATTCCTTATCTGCAGATGAGACGAGGTTCTCACGACATGCAAGTGAATGTGGCAGGTATTAGACGTAATTTAAAAAACCTAGCCCACAATTATTCTGATGCTCAACGAAAAGTCAGGGAAGCTACCTCAAATGACCCATGGGGTCCCAGTAGTACTATTATGGCTGAGATTGCTGATCTCACCTACAATGTTGTTGCATTTAGTGAAATCATGCAGATGGTGTGGAAAAGGTAAGAATAATCTTTTGCTATCATACATAAAGTTGCTGCTAGGGCTATCCTTATTTTTGATGAAACTTTTTCTGACTCCTTTTAAATTTTGTTTCAATGAAAAGGATAAGTTAGTAAAAAGACAATCTAGAAGTTTGGGTAGTTATATAGGTGAATATACACTATTTGGGTTTTCAGTGTTAACTAAGAATAGTTTATTTTGCTATTATAATCATTATACCACAAATGAGGTAATATTATGATTTTGATTTTAATAATAGTTTTTATAGGTTCCAGGGAGAAATGTTTGGGAAGTGGGTGACATTTAAACTATGAAAGTGGTACCTTAAACATGATATAAATACCCTTAGCTTAATAAATTTAAAAGTTCTTTATTAAAAATAACAGGTATTCAGTTTCATGTGTCTTCTGTCTTGAAACCATAGCATCTTATAGATTATGATCTCACGTTCTCTCAGAGCAAGGGTTATGTTTGGAAGCCAGAAATTTGAAGCCACTTCTTTAATTTTCTATAGTTTTCATTGTACAGAAATGTCAAAAAATGGAAAAAGAAGAAGTGTAAAAAAACAATTGACACAAAAACTGTCAGAGAAATGACACCTGGGTAGTGACAAAAACATACGTGACCTCAAAAACAATTAGGATGACATTAATTATTCTGTTATTGTATGTGATTAATGACTTTTGAATTCAAGAATCAATTTTTACATAGTTATATGCATAGATATGCTTACCAGGGTAATTATGGGAACTGCTGGCAAGAGGGAATCTGTCAACACAGTGTGAGCAACTGTTGCATTCCTGGTTTCAGTTAGCCAGATCATGCTAGTTTCAAACTATCATTTTTTTACTTCTCATGCTATTGCTATGTATTGATGAAGGTCAAATCATAAAACAGTTAAATTTATGTGAAAATATGCAATTTGAAATGTGCTGGGTATGATTAACGAATTTGAATTGATTAGAAACCTATATGTTTACATTGCATTATCTATTGCCAAAATTGCGAAACTTTAGTGCATACTTTTGACTGATTTGTCTACCAATTCCTTCCCAAAGTGACAGTGTTGTATCACCATACATATATGTGGTTTAAATGAGCAGCTAGAAAAACATGGAGCTTTTATAGGCAAGTAATGTTTTACTATTTTATGACACTAAATTACATATTCTCTTTATTTAAAATCACATCTTGAAAACATTTTTCAGTCTTATTTTAACATAATTTATGTGGTAGCTTGTAATGTATATAGATATTTTGATTCCATTTGAAGGCTCCATTTTTCAGATTCTTTTCCTAGTCGCAATGTCATATAATAATTATTTATCAAAACTAGATCCAAAGATAACTACAGAGGTCTTAATCATTTTTCCATCATCATAAAACAATCACAGGAAATTGCAAGAAAATAAATATAATGCTCAGGAGTATTTTGCAAAATGCAATTGTAAATACAGCATCCATCAGTTGATAATTTTTTATGCATTATAATAGTGCTTTATGCAGTAAATAATTTTGATTAATATCTGCTACTGATAAAGTAGGTATAACAATACATTCAACATGTTAAATTTGACAGTCATAGGATTTGCTTCAAATAATAAATGATTAAGTATTTTCAAATACAATTTAAGAACTTGTGGCTTTGAGGCTGTACTGGAGTTATTTTTAAATGACGGGCATGTATGAATCAAATCGAGGTTTTGAAGTGAACCACAATAGCTGCATCAAAGGCAAACAACTCTAGTGTGGTTTGGAACTGACTGATTTTCTGGTGCCATTTCAATTTTTTGTTTCTATTGAATTGTTTATTATGTTTTTTAATATACCTCAACTTCACTTCTGATCAATGCCATTATTTTATCAGAATAATTTGGAATTTAATATCAGGTTATATTTAAGATATATACATTCATGCCTATTTAAAATATCACACACACAAGACAACTAAATTTATGGGAAATCTTAAACTTGTCTAGAGGAGGAACAATAGAAACATATTCTGTGTCTAAAAAATCTGGTGTTATGTGTTGTACCTATAAGTTATTTCATTAATGAAATTAGTGATTTCTGTGAAGAAACATGTTTGTTTGTACAAACTGCATAGACTGGTGAATTCAATTATCATTATTATTATTAGTTTATTTGAGCACTTTATACAAGAAACGTGTAATGGAAACCTTGAATTCAAATTGTTATTGATGTAAAAAACTAGTCTGACCATGTGATTGAAAAAGAACATTGAGGGTCACGATAATTGATTTACTAATATCTTATTCACAAAAGATAAATTCAACCTCCCAATTTTGGGAAAAAACCTATTGTGCAATTTTTAATATTCTAAAAATAAGCTTAGTTAATGTGCTCAATTTTTCTGAGAATAAATTGATACTTGATGTAAGGAATAACGAGATTATCTTTCATTAGTTGTATTATTTCCAAAAGGAAAATTTTGGGACTTTAATCTCTTTCAAGGCATTGATCTTTATTTTCTCAAGATCTGTATGTTTATGAGATCCTACCTAGCTAAATATCCTGTTAAAACACATGTAACATAAATTATAATTTCATATAGTATAGTCTAATCCTTCTGCCTAATGCAAATAATTACATATGTTGATAAGAGAGATAGTACAAAAAAGTTTTCAAGTAATGTTTTAGATGTTGCGACAAGGAATACAGGATGTTTAAAATTCGACCATCACCATCGGGATCTCGGAAACTGTAAGAGAATCGAAGTTGCTTAAATGACTGTAGTAATTTGATCATTATTTATTTTCCATGTTATCACACAAATAGAAACAATACCGGCCTGCCCCCGCAAGACACGTCGTCGAGTCTGTTTTGTACTGAGAAAGCATTATAATCGACCAATTGTGTACTTATCATTTTCGTCGTGAGTGACTAGTGACTCCCTGACTGACTGTGGCTGTGTTGAAGGGTAGTGCAATACAATGGATGTGGTTTACAGACTTATCAGCGTGAAACGATTCTGGAAATACACTTTTGTAGCAAAATTCAGCTGAAGGTGTCAGGTCGACCGCTGCCGGACATATTTATAGAAACACAGGGCGTTAGTTGGGGCAAGTGCTATACGCGGCATTTCAGCAGGGAGATTTACACCAGAAATGACTGGATTTGTGGGTGCAACAGGAAGAATGCCCTTTTCTGCTTTCCTTGCATACTTTTCCGTGGTGACAAAGCTTGGACGGAGGTAGGTGTTACAGATTTAGTGCACCTGAATGAAAAAATAAAGAAGCATGAAAACTCTAAAACACATCTTTATAATTCGATGGAATTGTCTTTATTGGGGACTGTTAACATCAGAGCTCAGTTAGATTCAGCATATTGGAGAAATATACAACAACATAATGATAGCGTTACAAAGAACAGGTACGTTCTATCAAAAATAATCGATTGTATAAAATTTTGCGGAGCATTTGAATTGGCGCTACAGGGCCATGACGAAACCGAGTGGTCCCAAAACCCGGGAATATTTCGTGGACTGATTGATTTTTCTGCTGAGCTTGATACAACCTTAAGCGAACACATAAAAATGCTTCAATATTTAAAGGAACTTCGAAAGAAATACAAAACGATCTACTGGATTGTATTCTTGAAGTTTGTCATGAAGAAATAATAAAACAGATTAACAGAGCCTCGTATTTGGCGATAATAGCAGATGAAACAACGGACATTTCGGGGAAAACCCAACTGGTAACAATTTTCAGATACGTATTTAATGGCGAACCAGTAGAACGTTTTCGGAATTATATGAATCCCGAAAAATGCGACGCTGATACTCTCACAAGACATATTTTGAGCGTCGTAGATCCATTAATAGGAAATTTCCCTAACAAACTGATTTCACAAAGCTATGATGGAGCCGCGGTAATTAGCGGACATAATGTTGGAGTACAGGCAAAAATTAAACAAATATATACATTTACTCACTATGTGCATTGCTATGCGCATCAGTTAAACCTGATTATGTCCCAAGCTGCTTCCGCAAATGCTCAAGTTCGGGTGTTCTTTGGGGATTTTAAAGATATTCCGGGATTTTTTAATAATTTTCCTCAACGCGTAGAGGTACTGAACAGAATTGTGGGGAAAAAATTCCCCAAGGAGCAACATCTCGTTGGAATTTTAATATTCGAACAATAAATGCAGTGTTTGAGAACAGAGAATCACTCATTGAATGCATGGAAGAAATAGAAGAAAATTTCAATAATGAAACCGTTTGCAAGGCAGCTTGCGGTATTCGCCGTATGTTAAACGATTCTGTTTTCGTGTTTTGGTTGACATTTTTTCATCATGTCATGCCTCACGTCGACATCTTGTTCAACCAGTTGCAGAAGAGAAAAACGGAGCCAGCGCAAGTTAAAGCGGCTATCGATGATTTTGAAAAATGTATTGTCGATGTGAGAAATAAAATTGATGACAATAAATGAAGCCAAAAGTATTTACACTAAACCCCAAGGCAACAAACGGAGACGACGTAATAATAGCAGTCACGATCACCGAGTTGCCGCATTAGAAGTATGCGACAATATAGTGAATTCTGCAAATGACAGATTTCAATTCAAAGATCATTTGGTAGCCGCATCCCTTTTTTTCCCCGAACACTTTGGAGAATACTGTGGTAAGTTTCCTGATGACAAGTTGGAAACTACCTGCTTGGCTTATTCCGAATTAGAAAAAAGTCGTTTAAAGACAGTTGTCTGTTATTTATGCACGGAATGATTGCCGAGATTTACATGGAACTCTGTCTCTTTTGAAATTTTTCATACAAAATAGTTTGGAGGAAACACTAAAAGAAACAAAAAAGCTATTAGAAATTATTGTTACAACTCCTATGTCAACATCAGAGGCTGAGCGAAATTTCTCAACATTGAAAAGAATCAAGACCTTTCGTCGAAATACTATGACCCAGGATCGCCTTACAGCGTTGTCGATGCTGTCCATTGAAAAGGAATTTATTTCCTCAACGGGAGGGTGA